GCCAGCCCGCCCTAATCCGTCCACGCCTCGAAATTAATGCAAACATTTAGAAGGATTATCGCCCTAAAGGGGTTGCCAGGATCCTCGTTCGCTTGAACTGAGCAAGAGTTGCCTGGCCATAAAAGCATGATAGGATTGCTAATTCGCCGCTACTTGTTGTCCATTCTCTGGGCATTGTCCGCCGGCGGATTTGCCAATCTCGACTGCCACTTGGCTGCGGTTCCCTCGGCATCCTTTCCCGGCATATCCCATATCCCTTTCGAACCGGAGCCGCCAGGAGCGTATCAAAAGCCGCGGCACAATTATGCATTTCAGGGAAGTGATTAGGCCACAGATTAGAGCCAAAGAGTTGACAATATTTGTGGATTTGTCGCGGACTTGCCGGGGATCAGGGAAATCGGAATCAGGTACGGAGTAGCTGACCCCGAGCTTCCTCCTGCTTATCATTACGGAGTTGTGACACTCTGATCCCGATTTAGATCCCCTCTCGATGCCTCAAGGACATCAGGAAGTCGGGCACTTCCGCATCGCTCCCATGAAAGGACATGTGCTGAAGTGGCGAGGTCCAAGTCGCTCACTCAATTAGCAGGCGCCATCGGTCCTCGAAGGGCCACCATCGCCGTCAGTCAGTCAGACATAAAAAAGGGAGCTATACTATATATGCAACATGCATATCTTAAGTGCCTGAGAACTGTGAAGTGAAGCAGCAATTATGCTGTCGTCGCTTTGATCTGCTGCCCGCCACTTGGAGATGTGGGGAGATACAAATGCATCTGTGGCCAAACCACTCCACTGCGCAAGCGATTTCCCTGTTTAAGCATTTTTTAATTGTATGCTAATTGATGGCATCCATGGGATATTTTTGTACTTCCCCCGATTCCGGATGCTCTTTTCCCGTTTTCCAGCTGCCAATGGGGATGGACAAATGGGAGCCATTTTGAGCAGCTCCCTTTGCTTATTAATATACTGTTTATTCATCGCAGCAAGAGATACATATCCAGAGATACATTATTCAGAAAGCGCTTAGTGTTTTATGGAGGATTAGGGGCGTGGGCCATAAACGACTAATCCCACTCGAATTCCGGCTAAGATCGCGGATAGCAGATTTTCGATCTCTTGATTTTTAGCATGCTAAAAAGGACACGCATGCTAAAAGGACACGAGGGACGGCAGGAGCGAACGCAAATGGCCTGTGAAAAAAGAAGAGAAAAAGAGAATAGAATTGAAGGTCGAAGGTCACTCGATCGGTGGTTGTGTGCTGCTGCCGTTGGCGGTTCCTTGCTGATAAAAGAGGGGAGGGGGAGGAGGGAGCAAGGTCAGGTCGCCGCCCTTAATGGGCGTGACTGCCAGTTACAATTAATCGGCCTAATTTGCATGTCACTTGCTTTTTGTGGCTGTTCGGCGGTTCATAGGACAATCCCCGCCAGTCGTGTGAATCTTCGGGGGAATCCTTCGGGCGGCTGGAGCTTTGAAGAGTCCCGAGAGAGTCCCGCTGCTTTCCCGGTAAGCTGCACATCCTTAACCAGGCCAACAACCTTGTGACTTACTTTTTTAGCCCCGTTTCAGCCCATTAACAGATCATTTGCCGTCGAAATGCCCGCTTTTTGTTCGGCTTTTTTACGATTCCGAAACCCAGATCAGGATCGTTGGAAAGTCAGTTCTAAAAAATATTCCGCGCACCGCAGCGAGTCAATTTTTTTACGGCCCCTGGCCAGAAGGCAAGGTCAGCCAGGATCCTGCGCATCCTGCCATTCTGTTCCGCTTCCGAATTCCGCGAAATGCGAATTTCTCCGGGCCGGCAGAAACCTGGAAACCTAAAAACCTGAAACTAGAACTAGAATTCCAATGCAGTTTTTTTATGCCGCCTAATTTTTATGTTTTATGGCCTAAAAAACGGAACTCCGAGCCCGGGCGAATATCATCTCCGCCATAAAACGCCGCGTAGGTAATGCCCGCTGGCCGAAAAAAAAACAGAGAGGGCAGCGCAAAAAAGGACGAGGACCGTCTGAAACAAAGAGTCCTGCTCGAGACGCGGCGGGAAATTCGAGAAAAAATGATTTCATTTTTTAGAATCAGTGCGCGAAATGTGAGCATGTCCTGGTCCAGGATCCTCGTCCTCCTGTGGCTTTACGATGGCCATTAAAGCCCCTAAAAAAATAACGCGAAAAAAACGAGAACTGTAAATCATGGAAATCATGGAGGGTAGGAGTGTTTTTCGTTCGAGGGGCCGCGTCAAAGTCAAACCGCAATAAAGTTGACACGTCGTGCGCAGGATCTGAAAGTCTGAGGTCCTGAACTGCGGAATCGGTAATCGCCAGTCCTCCGCCACATAATGTAAAGTGCTCTATGTATCTGTATCTATCGCTATGTGTGTATCCAGGACATGCGCAGAGCACATCCTCTGCTGGCCACACCAGTGATTGCCGCAATCATTCTAGTTTCATTATCTGGCCTGCAGATTTATAGCCTCCCCTCTGCAACTCCGGACAGCCGCAGCATCCATCAGGGCAATTGATTCGGGCCTTTAACTGCCGCTTCCCATTTCGCAGGGCCATTTGCAGTGAACCCTGACCAATTGCACGGCCCAGCGGCCACCCCCATGGAAATGTATGAAAATGTATGGAAATGTTGGCAAAACATGAATTTGATTGTCGCGATTATCAGTGCGTTAATATCCATGAAACTGACGAGCACAATGAATGCGAATCCGATAAACGGCGCATGGTCCGTTAATGGACAGCGTGCAAATTGGCAAACAAGCCATGGATACATGGCTACAGATTGTGAATCTGAATGGGCATCCCAATCTCAATATCCGCAGACACATGACGCATTTATGCTGTGTGTGCGAGAAACGTGTGAAATTATTTCAGTGCTGGCATCATCATTTTACAAAGATGTTTATTCATCCGCTGGCTGATTGCAAAACCCCTCATCCTCACCTTTTGAGCCATCTATTTGGCAGGGCCATAAAGCATTTTCAACTTCGTTTAGCGCTCCCAGCTCTCGACGGCAATTACTCTGGGAATCCCTCTCCCTATCTCTGGGGGATTGGATAACATCCTCTGATCTCGCCGTTGCCAGTGGTGACCAGAAGATCTCCCTCTCTGATGATCACTTTATATTCATTGACAGTTAGTGTGAAATTCGTAGCTCATAAATCGATGGAGATGGCGATGGAGACTGAGAGCCCGAATTGCGGTCGTCTTGGCCACAAAAGCTGCCTTTTGTCGGCTCGGCAGCTGGAAAGCGGAGAGCAGGGCCATAAACGGCCAATTCCGAGGTGCTAATTCACTATTAAAAGAAATCTGAAACTGAAACTGAACCGAAACAGAAACCAATCCCTAGTTCCTCGCTCACTCACTCATCACGCCCCAATAAAACTTAATTTTGTTTGCACATCATATGGTAGATGGGTCTGTACATAGAGCCTTGGCTTAGCCGTGGCTGTTGAATAATGCATTGTATTTCCAACAATCGTGGGAGAACTTCGCATGAAGTGGCGGCCATTCATGGCTGAGTATCTGTATCTGCGCAGCCCTGTATCCATTGATTGCCCCCATAAACGTTGGAAATATCTCGGCTCTGCCGCGGAGACAATGCCGAATTAGAGGCGACGGCCTAATTGATAATAATATCGCATTTACTCCCTCCGACTGCGAATCAGTTAACTCTTTTATGCCGCCGGCTGAGCAGCTGCTTCCATCGAATCAAAGGCAGATTCAGATCCCATCTGCCCTTTGGACAACCTAATCCTCTCGTTGGCCATTTCGGCAGCTCGTCGCATAATTTCGCCATAAACAACTTGATGATTTCTGTATTTCAACAAGCCTAATCCGCAGTGCCTAATCCCCACATGATTAATTATCAACCTGCGCCGTGAAGTCAACCACCCATTCCCTCATCACAATCACTCCCAATCCTGCAGAGATTTCCCGTTTGTTTGGCTATTTTTTAATTTACTGTATCCGAATCCCTGGATGGGGAATTCCCCGGGGCCAAAGCGTGGCGCGTATCTTTATTATCAAATCATAAAATGCTGCCACTTGTGTGCTCGCATCCCCCGAAGTGAAAACACCAGCCGAAAACCCTGGAAAGAAAGGGGTGTGCCACTCCAAGGATAACACTTCATGGACCATTTTTTATGCCTCCGCCTCGGCTGGCAAGTGTCAAAACATGTTTTGATGCCCGGGCGCTCAATTAGATATTAGACAGGGATCGCAGGGGTGAATTTGTATCTGTATCTGATATCCTTGTAACTCGCATCGTTTACCCACTCCACTAACATTTGCTGACTCTGTTTTTTTAGCTGCGGGATTATGAGCAATTGACACCCCTTTCTGGAAATTGGCTGAGCAATTGAAACACATGTTTTGCCTGGCAATTAAATAGGGATTTTATTATGGAAAGGACTCGCTCCCCTCTGATGATTTCTCAATTATGACAATTGTTTGTCCCCGAAAAGAGAAAACAAACATAAGGCCAGGGAAAGGTAACTGGAATGAGCACAACGGGTGAGGTGACAATTACTTAGCCGAGCCCAATCCAATCCGAGGACACCGAAATTGATTCCGCCGGCAATGCAACCTGACGCGTGGCAGGGAGTGGGCCCAATTGCACTCCAAGGTCGCCGGCCAGCGGGTGGCTTTTGGCCCACCCGCTTGGATCTCGGCTCGAATCGCATTAATATGGCATTGGCTTGTGCCAAACCCCCGTGGATGTCGTTTTCCTTCCCCCGCCGGGACATCTTCTCACCGGTCACTCTTCCGCTCTTCGATTTGCAACAGTTTCCCCTGCGAAGGTCAAATTTCGAGCAGCGGAGACCAGCTGTCCCGCCAGGTTTCTCCACGGCTAATCCAAACAGCCAGGTCCATAAAAGCAGCCCAGGTATATACTATATAGGATAGGTAACTCCCTCACCCAGGTAGTCGTACAAGAAAGTGTCGTATAGTTTTTCGTATAGTTTTTCGCATTTATTTTTGATTTTGTGCCTTAATTATGACTACGATTAGCTACTTAGATCTACAGTATGGTACAATCTTCGGGAATAAATAGGGTGACTAAGCCTAGTTTGTACAATCTTTTGGGGGATCTGGATTTCGAGTATTACGCCTCAGTCTTGTAGGGCTTGAAGAGCTTCGGCTTGGGCTCCGCAATCACGGTGGTCGCGGGCGGCGGCGACATGTCGGAGGCGGGCCGCTTTCCGCTGGGCATCAGCAGGCCGGGGGCGGGCAGGGGGCTGGTGGTGGTCAGGGGGCGGCAACGGAGGAGGCAGCAGCCACTGGACTGCGGTCAAACACCTTGGCGTGATCGGATCCCACTGGCGAGAGCGACAGCGTGGAGGAGTGCGGCGATGAGGAGGACTGCAGGTCCAGCGGGGGCGTCTGTGTCTTGGGCAGACCCACACCGACGGCCAATCCAGGGTAGCAGGAGCCGGAGGGCAGGGCGCTTAAGAGACCAGCGGCGTTTCCAGCGGAGTACGAGGAGCCCGATGCGCTGGTTCCCATCATGTGCGGGTGCATATGAGGGCCAGCGGGATGGTGGGGCGGAGCTGGGCGGGCGGGGATGTGGTAGGGCGTGTAGCGGTACTGTCCGTAGGGAGCGGGGTGCGCCGAGTGTCCGGGCATCTGCATGGCCTGCATCTGGGGCATGGACATGGGCGGCATTCCCTGGGCCATCATCGGATTGGTGGCCACGGCGGCGGCGGCGGCAGCAGCAGCAGCGGCCGCTGGGGCGTAGGGCGGATAGGGCATGCCCACGCTGTTGGCCGCCGCCTGGAGGATGGAGGCGGCGAAGGCGGGGTCGGAGTAGACGGCGGCATAGGGCCAGGCGACGGCGATGCGCTGGCGCTTGTCCTTCATGCGGCGGTTCTGGAACCACACCTTGATGGTGCTCTCGGGCAGGTTCAGCTGGGCGGCCAGTTCGCAGCGGCGGGGGCGGGAGACGTAGTTCTCCTTGTAGAACTCCTTCTCCAGGCGGCCCAGCTGGTCACGGGTGAAGGCGGTGCGGTAGCGACGGACAGAGGGGTCAGCGGGAATCTCAGAGCCACGGCTGCCATTCAAAGAGTTGTCCGGACTGGATAGGCATTCTATTTGGAAGAGGGGAAAACTATGTGTTAATAACTAGCCACATTTAAAGAAGTTATTTAGTAAACCTACCATTTGGCGAGGGTGGAGGAGTCTGGGGCTTTCCATACTGGTTGGCCATGAGGTCCACGACCAGCGGCTTCTGGTCCACGCTCCTGTCGTCGTGGTGGGCATGGTGGCTCTCCATGTTGTAGGTTCGGTATCCGTGCATCTTTCAGAGTTCAGCGTTCAGAGAAGAGTGGCGCAAATGAGAGGCAGTTGTTGACTGTGCGGCGGTCACAGCTCGAGTGTGCTGCTCTCAGCCACCCCGCGCCCTTTTATACCGCCTCGCTCCGCAGGCAAATGGCCGCCATTGGGCGAGGACAGCCAATGGCAGGGCAGCAGGCAAGTGCGAGAGGGACGGCCGATGAGCGGTGCTAATCTTGCGGTACTGAGAGCCGCCGCTGGGATGCTGGGCTGCTGGGCTGCTGAGCGGCGATTACGAGGCGGGACAAAGCGGAGGAGCAGCGGGATGGAGCCAAAAACTTGGAGAGAGGAGAGAGAGCGCCGATTTGGTATTCATAGCGGATGAGCGAATCTTTTGTCTCGCCCGCCCGCAGGCGGCCGCCCTGCAGGAGCGAGCGGGACGGGCGGGCCCCCTTAATAATGGGATTTTATCGGCTTCATCAAGAATGATATGGCATTATGCCGCTCAGTCGGGTGGTGGTGTGTTATGTACCCAAGTATATGTATAGTATTTATCGATCGCCTGCCAGGCGAATTATTTGCGCTTTTATGAAGTCTTAATATAATGCCGCACGTTTAACAGCCCCACACTGCTGTGGGGTTTTCACTAGTGAGCTTTTGTGAAAACCTCCTCCCCCAACGCCACCCATTACCATTTGGTATCTCTGTATCTTCCGAGATAATGGGGGAGCCCAGTTGCTGGGTTGCTGATTTGAAAAGTTTTCGGTTTCGCCTGGCAAAACATTTATTATGATGATATAATCATGCCCAGAGGCAACTGTACCGGTAAAGAGTGTCCTTTTTGGGGCAGCGAACTTGGGACTTGCGCAAAAAAAAAGTGTAGGCTACCTGCTGCGGCTCAAACGGGTTAAGCTCGAGGATCAGGGTTAAGTCGACGCAAAAAATAACCCACTTCGCTAGTCCGTTAATTGCGCTGCCTGGCCGGGACTTGCATATATGAAGCCCTAATCCCTTCGACATCATTATTATGTGTTTTTATGACTTTCTAATGAAAAGGGCAGAGAGCAGAGGCCTGGGTTCCAAGTCAAGCCCTCGGCTAATCCCAGCAAACAAACAAACAAGCGATAGGATAGGATATATCGGAATCCCCTGACTTCGTAAACCCCGTTTTCGGTGCGTAGTCAGGGTCCCTCGATCTCGCGGCCCTGCAGTTCCCCTTAATTCCGTTCAATTGAAGCCGAATTTGAGGAAAGTAGAGCACAGCGTGCTGGCAAACTGAACCGATTGTTCAAGATGCTGCAATAAAATCTAACTCGAAAGTGAAACGAAAGCGGGACGAAAGCGAAACTCTGAAATTGACTAATAATCTGGCTGATGGCAAACGGATTAACACGGCACACACAGCGAGGAACCCATGTATCTGCGATCTCGGGATCTCTGGTTCCATTGTTATGCAGTACCGGGTAACCAGGAAGGATATCTCCTCGCTGCTGCGAGTTAGTTAAAATTATTGGGTTATATTGCGCCGCAATTTGCATTGGCATTAACTCGCCGAGGCAGCGGAATCTCGGTCTACCTACTGCGTGACCTGGAAAAGGCCCATCCAAGCCTTCTTGGCCGGGAAAGGTTCGGGTTCGGAGTTCGAACCCTACCCACAACCTACAACCTTGCCTATTGTACACCATCCCGGGCCTTTGTCTTTGACTCCGTCCGGAGAATGGACCGCTTGGGTTAAGTCGTCAAGCGAGGCTGCGGCAGCGACAGTAAATACCCTTTATGGCGATCGGTTGGGTTAGGCGAAAGTGTAAGTACCTGCCTCCTGGCTTTACTCATTCCCATTCCCAATCGCTATCGCAATCCCTCGATTCCGATCCGCAAACACTTTCGCATTTCTCCAGCTTGCAGTACTCGGAATACCGGGAAGCGAATCCCTGGCCGTTTGTCTCCCGGTTTATTGCACATTCTGCACTCACAAAGCGCCGATCTCGCTGATTATGCCCGTCATCATGGCAAGTAAATGGCAAACACACTGGACGAATTGTCCGCGCAACAGAAATGCCGGCGAAAAATTGGCAAAACGATGCGGAAGGGCGGGGAAAAAGGCAAGACAGTGCAAAAATTGGCAATAAAACGACGAAAACGAGGGAATTATGCTTGATGATTGAGTAATTTCTGTAATAAAACAATTACAACAAAAAGGCCAGCAATTTATGGTGATTGCGGGGGAAGGAGGTGTTGAGTAAGTGATTCATCGCGGAATCCTTAATGGTTTGTTCTTGGGCATAATGCCAGCTTTTTTATATATAATGACCCTATTTATTTAAATATCTTGTTTGTTTCTCATTTGTACTCAATTAAGATAAACGATTAGCATTTAAAACTATTTGGCAGCCGTTAGGAAAAATGGGAGAAAAATATGTTTTTTAATGTTCGCATCATGACTTAATTTGCTATATAAGTAAACCATCTCTTCTGTTGTTTATTTTTAATTTATTTACACTTCATAAATTGTTCTAAATGATCTATAAAGCAATAAATAACCAAAATTGATTGATTTAAACAGTTTTATAAAAAAACGTTTGTCATAAAAAAGTTTCTTTAAAGAAATAGTTGCTTTCTTTAATTTGCTATATAAGTAGGCCATATTTTCCGTTTGTTACTATTTATTTATTTAGACTTTACATTTTTTTTAGCAATGATTTATATAGCAATAAATAACCAACATTGATTGATTAAAACAGTTTTATAATAAAACGTTTGTCATAAAAAGTTACTTTGAAGAACTTGGTGGTTTCTCTTAAATATTTTTAAAATGTATACTGAAACACATACTTCACAGACTTCTTAACTCCGCCTCACTTCTCATAAATTGTGCTTTACTCTTTGTCCAGAAGAGACCCTCCCATTCGTTGTGGATTCATTAGGGCACATCATCCCCCGAGTGAATGTGGTGGTTTTCATCCTCCACTCAAGACGGAATTTTACTCCCCGCACTCAAATAACCATAAACTGTCTGAGGAGTGTATAACAACATAAGTAATTTAATTTTCTTACAAACATCATAAAAAGTGTTTCAGCTAACAGAACATTTCTGAGACAATCGACGAATTAGCAGCGTTTATGTGAGAAATATAAAAAAGCGCTTGATAAAACTTGGAGCAAACTATTGCCTCATGTTTTTAATGGTCAGACAAAACAACTTCACTGCTCTCGAAGCGCAGAGATTTTTATGGCACAACCTATTCATTTCCCCCGAGGGAAAGCAACGGGCCAATCGAAGCTGAAAATTCCAATAATTGCCAGAGACAAAACAAACTGGCATATTTTATGCTGAGCTCGACCCGATGGAACGACCTCATAAAAATATGAATGCCATCCGCGAACAAATGGATCTTAAAAACCAGAGCAGAGCTGGCTGAGTTATGGCCACAATTACAGGTAAGTAGAGCGCTCTAACCTTGTCCACGTTTTTCCAGGAGCCCAATAAAAACCCGTGAAGAATTAAAAAATTAGAGCAGTTCGCTGGGTTCGGGGAAAAAAACTAGCGCAGCGAAAAAAGCGGACAATGGGAACAAAAAACGTGATCTACTTTCCTAATACGGCCGACGAGGATCGCCGCCGAGGTCCTCGCGGCAGGACACTCCCGTTCCGCGAACCAGATCGCCGGACCCATAAAAATCTGCATATACCATAATTCCATCCAGCATTTCTTTGCCCCGGAACAAAGGAGCGGGAAATGAAAATGGAAATGGAAACGGCCATAAACCGTAAAGAGAGCAGGGCACAACAAAAAACTGATCTAGTTTTCTAATGCAGCGAGGTCGCTCTCGATTTCCCTGCCGCGATCGAGGATCCTTCGTTGTCCTGTTCCTGCGGTTCCGCCGAAGGTGCACCAATAAAAAGGCGCGTCCTAGTCCTACCTAGTTTTTTTCGGCCCAATTTTTAGTGGAAATTCGAGCGTGCAATAAAACGGACGCATGTCCTTCCGAATGTCCGCATGTCCGTTCGCCCGGACAACGACTAACTGCCGTAATTAGGAGGTTTGTAGGTTTGTAGGGCAGGCATCTCGGGTATGTGGGATCGAGGACCGCGGGACAGGCCGTGTAAAACAATGACAATGGAAAAAACTCATAAAAAGAGCAACAAAGTGGCCCAGAAAGAAAAAAATTGGCTCGCTTTTTGTCGAACAAAAAGAGGCCACAAAAAGCGTCCACGAGCCGAGAGGCCCGTCCTCACAATCGGGCCAAATAATTAGGTGAGCGATTGTCCGCTCTTTGTGCGGCCCAATGATTAGCGGTTTCTTTTTTAGGACCGTGTTTTTGGATGGTATTTTAGGGGAACTAACATCCTGGGAAGATGTCAATGAGGACAGACATCAGAAAGAGAGAACATCATGTTTGAATGAGTGAATCCATAATTACACAGTTGCAGAAATTATATTAAATTAATTATATTATATTAAAAAAGTTATTAAGTGCTAACATTAACATTGTAAAGTCATAAAAAAACATACATGCCGAAACATACGAAATGATCGTTATTCTTATGATTTACATATGGGCATTTCCAGAAAAAAGTCAACCAAACCCCAAAAACTAAAACTAAAACTGTGATTTTTAAAGTTTAAGTTGAAAAAATGTCGCGTCCGTCACCCTGAAAATGCCCATATGTAGAATATTTATTAAAATATTTGCAAAGTTTTCATATATGCATATAAGCACAACTAGGCACAATGCACAGGTTTTATAACAATAAATAATAATTATAATCAGTACACTTCAAGCTTTATGTGAAGTACATTTTTATTGGTTATTTAAAAAAAACAAATTAGGTTATGTATAAATCTAATTATGATTGAAATAACAAAAATTTTAACTATTTAAATGTTTCGTAATATCCTAAAAAAAACAGTTTCTTATAAAATCCGACGCCTAAAATATTTCATATAAAAACTGATTTTTGTAGGACTTATATTAAAGTACTTAAATACCCAAAAAAAAAAGTGTCTTAAAATTGATAGCTAGTCGAGGGATATGTTTTAAAGCGAAGTAAACCATTCAATAGATGTACATTGAGGCAACTCTGATAGACTCCCCAGGGCGGCCAAATCAATCGGACACGTTTACTATAAATACAGCGCATTGCGGTCTCCGAGGCAATTCAATTGGGCCTGTGACCAATTCCGATACGGGCGGAGGAGCCAGCAGGAGCTCGGGGTCAGATTCGCCAACAAACGCTGCTGGAAAGCCGCAGAAAGCAGGGTCACAGGTCGCGGAGGGAGGGGGCAGGGGCAGGGAATTCGAGTCCTGGAAGAGAGTAGCAGTAGCAGTTGTCCACCGCACTGACGAATCACATCAAAGTGGAACACTTTGCTCAGGGAATCGGACTCTCAGGGTCAGGCATCCTGCTAACAGACATGTCAAATCACAGGAAAACAACGACGACAGGACACAGTAAGAAACACCGCCAAAGGAGCAAACAGCCGAAGAGGAGAAAGAAGGTCCTGCAAAACAGCATCGACTCACCGCAGCAAATTCGCGCTGACTGTGCGAGAACAGCGGGGCACACCATAATATTTTGGTTGCTCGACGAATTCTTCGGCCGAGCGAACGGAAGACTCTGCGTTTCGGAGGAATTCCTCCTCGCAGCCAGAGCCTTTATTGATGGGCAATTAGCCACGGTGAGTGGCGGTTTCGAGTGAGCTGCAGGACTCTGGCTACTCCGACCCCGTCTTCGAATGGGACCCTACTCGCTTTGGATTCGCTCGGCAGGAGCAAACCCACAGCTTCAGTGGCGGCGTCGAGATATCTTCCTCTGTTTCCATTCCCATTCGCATTCCCACTCCCATTTACATTTACATTTCGTCGTATGTTTCTGTAAATTTGAGTAAATTAAGTCGTTCCGGTTGTGCCCGTTTTTAGGTGGTACTTCTGTAGCAATTTTATTTGTATCGTAGGTGTTGTATTTGTCAACATTTAGACTCCGGTCTCGGAAATCTCCGGGCCCTGAACAGGCAGTTCGCTCGGGCAGTGGCAGCGGATTAGCCGATTTGTGGGCACGGATTTGAAATGCCTACTGCAGCACTAATTGGGCCGCTCTCTGTGCGAAGGGATGCGGGATATGGATGCATAGGGATAGAGACATGGATAGGGATATGGATATGGATGGTATGATGTGATGGTGGGAGGGGCAGGGGTCGTTCTAAGGATGCGTTTATCTGCGCTGAAGATGTGCTAATTTTTTACTCAGCAGAGCTGCCTGAAAGTGAGCAATGAGTGCCCAGGTTAGAGGGTGAATTGAATCATAAAGGAACCGGCTTTGGTTTCCCTTAAGGGAATCACAAAAGAAACCTTTCCCCGCAACTTTTTATCGATTTACACAAGAACAAAGCACCATTTGAAGCCGTTATTAGAAACTTAAGTTAAATAGTTTGATGTAATAAAGTTGAAATATATAAACTATACTTTGCTAAGCACAAACAAAATAAAGTTATGCAAACAAAGTAAAACAAAACAATTTTTCCAATTTTTTACCTTAATTTTTGTTACCCAAAGTTTCACCGTGTTAAGGTAATTTTTCTTTTTTTGATATTAATAGCATTTGAAAAAAATAATAACATAAATTTTTATTAATTCTAAAAATAGTTATAATTTAATTATTTTTATACAAATATTAGATATTCCCTTTTCGTTAAGGCTGAATAATTAAAGTTATTTTAAAATGTAATATTGTTTTGGTATATCAGAGTTGTACGCATAATCAACCATAAATTTTAGGAACGAGGTAGTTTCACTTTTTTGAGAATAACATTATAAGGAATTTGGGTTTCCTTATAGAAAGGCGTACTTGGTAAAATTTAAAATCCATGTAGATAATATAAGTAATGTTTTTATGTAGATACTATCTAATCGTAACGTAGCAAAGTTCCCTCAAAAGTATGCTACACGTTCTCTATAAAACGTAAGCCTCTTACGTACTCCGTCTTGGTTCCATATCAGCCAGACTCTGTTAGCTGGTAAACAAACCAGTCGCAGGGATTTTTCGGTATTTAATTTATATACCACCAAAGCAAACCGAATACCAAAATACCAAATTCAAATAATTTATTTCAAATAAAATGATAACCGGCAAGTTGTTCCTTTTTTCAAATTAATTAAAAAATTAATACAATCTGAAATACTTAATTTAGAAAATTTTTAATATAAATTGTATATTATAAAACGAAAACATTTAATATGGCGCCTGCTTGCGCGACTTCTTATCCTTCTTGACCTTCAGCTTGTCACTGCTGCCGGCTGCTCCGCTGGAGTCCTGTGTCCAAACCGTAACAATGCCGGACTCGCCGCCTGTTATCAGTAGTCCATTCTTGGCATCAAACAGACTGTCCCTCACGATCTGCTTGTTCCCCTGAAAATTGGCCAATGGCTGGAGGTTGTTTTTGCTGGTAACGCTCACGGAGCGCAGGATCTCCCTGAAAGTAGAGTAATTAGTTGGAGGAGTGGACAAAGAGTGCAGTTAAAAACTCACCCCTTGTTGAAATTCGTGCCCGCCAGGAGGAAGACTCCTCCGTCCTCCTGGTTGTGGGCGCCAACCAGGTTGAAATTTCCAGCCCTTTTTCGCCTGATGGCGGCTGTCACATCCGGGCGCTCGAAGGAGGCCACCTCGTCGCCCTCCTCGCTCTCGTAGCTCTTGAAATCGCCGGTGGTCGTGATGCAGGACACGATGTCCTTGTCGTAGACGTTTCTATGCCACTCCAGCCGGGCCACACTGCTCTCCGTGTTGCAGGTGGTGAGCAGGGCCTCGTCCTCGTCCGCCTCCTTCACATCGAACACGTTAATCAGGCCGTCCACACTGCCGGTGGCCAGAAGATCCGGATTCTGGGTATGGAACCGCACCGAGGTGATGTCGTCCTCGTGGCTCTCGCAATAGACGCCCATCTGCCGTCGCTCCCGAACGTCGTAGAAGAGCAGAAACGCGTTGCTGTGGAATTGATCGGTGCCGCAGCAGATGATCCGCCCGTTGGCGTTCCGGTCGAAGCAGGCTATCGACTTGGGCACCGGGCTCACCTCGGGATGCTGGGTGTACTTGAACCGCGCCTGCTCGCCCTTTAGCCGCAGATCGTAGAGGCGCACATAGCCATCGGTGGTGCCCACGAGGATGTTGTGCGGTCCCTCGTCCAGGAAGCGGATGCCGCAAATGCTCACCGGCTGCGGAGACTCTGTGGGCGGCAGGAAGCTGAAGTTGGCCAGTTTCCCGGCTCCCGCATCCAGATTGTAGATGTGCACCGCTGAACTGGACAGTCCGGCGGCTATCCGCGTGAATCCCTGATCGGCAGCCAAACTGAGCACATACTCCCGCTGCAAGGACACGCTGGCCTCGTCCTGCGGCTTGTATTTCAGCTGGAATTCGGCGGCAAGCTCCTTGGCGCTACAGGTGTCCTCGTCGCCGATGTCTTCCTCGTCCTCCGAGTCGGGCAGCTCCTCCTGGGCCGCTTCTGCAAGGAGCAAGGTTTTAGTAGGCTGTTTTCGGACGCTAGGAACTTGGTTAAACCTTGGCAATATTTGTTGAAATCACTCATTCTTGTTGGTTGTTGATTCCTCTCATCGCACGTGTGGCGATTCACGTTAGCGATGGCCATCTAGCTAGTTTAGAGCTAACTAAAAGCTAGATGCTTTCAGATAAATTGTTTAAGGGTCCTTTGTAATGTCCAAATGAGTTTTTTTTCCATTTTTTAAAAGAAATCAGAGAGTCGGAAAGAATATTTGTTTACAATTATTATAGCGGCATGCCTAATAGTAAGCTTTAAATTATCTAAATTATCTAGCCTTTTTATCTAGCCAAATCTAACAACATTGTAGGCAATGCTTCTTCTTGCCCTTACAAACAAAACCATTCACAGGGAAACGTCAGTTAAAATCTCAGAAAACTATCCGAAAATAATGAAATTAAATTGTTTAAGTAATTATAATCACTGTAATTAAAATTAAATTTTTGGTACTTATATAATCCTTAAGAAATCCAATTCAAAAATAGAGATCGATTGATTTATAAATACTCAAACCTTAAACCTGAAAAACTTTCAGAAAAAATAAATTAAATTGTTATACCCTTGCAGAGGGTATTATGATTTCAGTCAGAAGTTTGCAACGCAGTGAAGGAGACGTTTCCGACCCCATAAAGTATATATATTCTTGATCAGCATCACAAGACGAGTCGATCTAGCCATGTCCGTCTGTCTGTTTCTACGCAAACTAGTCTCTCAGTTTTTGAGCTATCGGGACGAAACTTTCGCAAAAGTCTTCTTTATATTGCAGGTAGTATATATGTCGGAGCCGACTGGATCGGACAACTATATCTTATAGCTCCCATAGGAAGGATCGAAAAAAAAAAACTTTAAAAAATTCTAGCTTCGGTGTTTTTTTAAATATTACCTTCTACTTTTGGGGATGTTTTTTTTTAAATATTTCCGAATTTCAATTTTAATTTGATCAAAATCGGACGACTATATCATATAGCTGCCATAGGAACGATCGGAAAATTAATGAAAAATATTAGAAAATTGAACATTTTTGCGATTTGTTAATTAATAGGAATGATCTGCAAGGGTATATAAGCTTCGGCTGGCCGAAGCTAGCTTCCTTTCTTGTTTAAGTAGTTATAATCTACTTTAACTAAATTTTAATTTCTGGTACTTATATAATCCCTTAGAAATTCAATTCAAAATAAGAAATTGAATAATTTATGAAAACTAAACTAGTTATAATGTACTTTAATTCTGGTAAATCCCTTCGAAATTGGAAATTTATTAATTTATAAATACTAAACTAGTTTATTAAATATTTATAAAAGAATTGAACGCTTAATCTTATAGTTGTCAGTAAATTAAAAACATTAAATTCTCTAGATACCCACTAATTAAGAACTCGGTTATCTTTTAATATCGATCTGTAGTTTTATTCTTTATACAAAAGTGAATTTCACAAGAAGCCATTCCGAATACGACATTTGCAGTTGTCATACATAAGTCAGTTGCCTAAATATTCTCTCGGTTTGGAGTTTGATTTGCGTGTTGTGTTCGTTGAGGTTTCTTGATTGCCGACTTGACTGTGTTTTGTGTTCTGTATGGTCATACAAATATATATGTACACATTTATATAGGTTCTGCTATTTTATATTCAACAAAGGACTCAATTTCCTGCGCAGCATCTCTAACAAGAAGAACTCTTCAACAAGCAACTATGTATTCAATAATTAGATATATGCGGGTTACAATATAGATCCTATTCACATGAAGTCGTCATAGTCTTCGGTGAAGTCATTGCCGTACTTTTGGTAACCATCAATGTCCTGTGGATGAGTGGGTTTAGTTAGTAAATTGATTGATCTTTGGGATTTTTGATCCTAGGAAGCACTTACGTCGTTTTCGGTGCGCAGCGTGACCTTGCCCTTGCCCTTGCCAGCGGGCTTCTTGGCATTGGCCTTCTCCAACTTGAGCTTTTCCGAGTGCAATACCTCCACGTTCATTTTGACCTTTTTGATGTCAGCGGCGCTCACTTGATAGGGAGGAAATTCAGATCAGATAAGGTTTATTCGGGTGTAGGCCAGCTAATCACTTACGATTCACGCACAGGCTGCGCACCAGGTCTTCGACGAACTGGGGGAAGTGCTCCGATTCGCGGTACTGGGCCACCTTCCAGCTGAGCGTGGCGCCAAACTCCTTGAACTCCTCTTTGCTCTCCGGATTGAATGCGTCCAGACCGCCGTCAATACTCGTCACGCCGAAGGCGTCTTGGGCGTGCTTCAGGTCTGAGGCCTCCTGGATCTTTTGCAGGCGCAGCTTCTCGGCCAGCTTTTCCGCGGGCGAGAGGTTGGCCAGTCGTTCCGCCTCCGCCTCCTCCTCCAGGCGCTGTGGGAATCACAAATTGTTAGTGTGATTTCAGGGATTCCGGGATTATCCTACCGCTTGCTGCTCCAATTTGGCCTTTAGTGCCTTGTTAGGCTTGGGTTTGGCCGGGGCTTCTGTTTTCGTGGGCTTCTCCTCGTCCTTCTTCTCCTCCTCGTCCTCCCAGCTGTCCTGTGGACGGGGAAGGGGCAAAAGATTGGGTCAGTCTGCTGCGAAAGTGCACACGTGTACAGCGAAACGAAAGTGAAACCGAGTGCACGAAAACAAGTTTGTGTTGCTGTGCGCTTGGCCTAATCTGCATATAGCAATGCCTTCGGTTTCGTCTGGATTTGGCAAGTCCCGCTCACCTTGATGTCCTCATCCTCGTCCTCGCCCTCCCACTTGTTTACGCTGGCGGTGGCATTCGGCAGGATGACCACTTCGCTATCTGCTGCGGATTCTGCCAGGTCAATGGAGGAATCGAAAAATAACAAGGGTTTCGAATACGGTTAGTTGGCAGGCAATGGGCTAAAAATACCCATCAAGGCTGGTTGCATGGCACTCCAACAACAACAACAACGATGGCCACGGCGACCACGTTTATTGTCCGCCCCAAATGACGCACCGCCCCCGCAGCCGCCCACGCCCTCGGAAACTCACCCCAGTCGTCGGCCATTGTTGCGGATCTCTATATATTTGCGGGGTTTGTGCTTGTGGATTGGGTTTGTGCTAGGATCGCCTTGGTTCCAGCCTCGCAGCAATTTCGGGAATTTTCCAAAACTACAAGAAATCTACAGTAGAGGTGGAGAAACAGCGATGGAATCATCGATGCATCGATGTTTTTATCATTTTGCAAACATCGATGTTTGCCTTTATCATCGATGTTTTTCGTTTTAAATATGTCTTGTTAATTTTTTATTATTATGCTGACATTTATTGTTTGGTGGTTCTTGATGTCGTCGACGACATGAATAGTAAGAATACTCGGACCAATATTTATTTATGTAAAATGTGCATTGTATGTATTTGTCCCGAACATCGTTTCTCCACCTCTACATCATCATTTGTCCAACCTATCGACTTCTCTCTTCTTATTTGATTAATTAAATTATCGAATTAGCGCGACTGCGTTTAAAAGTGATCAGTAAATAAATTAAATTGCACGCTTTGATTTGAAAATATTTTAATCAAATTCGAACATTTTAAAAACTATTTTATGTAATTAGGAAAAACATTTTCAAATTAAAATTTAAGCATAACATCTTTTAATTTAAAAGTAACTAGAATTGTTATTTTACAAAATTTCCATATTTAAAATGATCAAAAACCGCAAATTAAAAAAACTTCTCTATAACAAAAAAAGGACGAATATAAAGCCAGAAAAATCTTAAAAATTTAATATGAACTCTTTGGATCTACAACGCCGTTTTTTTCAGTGCTGATTTAACATAGTTTTTTGTTTTCTTAAAGTATTGGCCACCAAAAATCATTTCATTTCATAATAATAATGTTTAGTGGATAGAATGAGAGAATCATTCTCTGAAAAAGTTGACCGTCCCATCCTACAAGCTGTTCCAAACACGGCGCTCCCCTAATTTAAAAGAAATTGATATTTGGTTCGAGCTTAAACATATTTCGTCTTATCCAATCGAGAAACTTCGAAGTTTTTGTGTAAGCCGCTGGTCCATATCCGCATGTCCGGTCAAAGCTACCTCCATAGGACGTGATACCCGCTAAGTATACGAATTCATTTTCGCCCCATCGCATTGGCGCCATTAAGGGGCTACCAGAGTCTCCTTCGCAAGTGTCCTTTCCATCATTACCGGCACAAATTTGAGACTCTTTGTTTAATCCCAAAAAAGGATACTTTCTAAAGCACTCGTCTGGGTTTCGTATCTTGATTTTGGCCTCTAACAATATTTTACTGAATTCCTGCATATGCGAATAGCCCCAGCCGGCTATATGCAAAGTGGAGTTTATAAGGAAGGGATAGGGATCAAAGGATTCCTGGCCAGTCAAAATGCAAATCGGTATGATTTGACGTGTGTACCTGAGGAATAAAAATCTTGGCTTGGTAAAATGAAACAAAACATAAACAAATAAATTCGTTACTTACCGTACTATAATTTCGAGTCGCAAAAGAGCGATGTCGTTATAGTACTTTCTATTATCTACGTTGTGGAACTCCTCATGCTTAATAATCTGTTCGACATTTATTTCCAGATGCGGAGGAGCGTACAGTTCCTGTATTATGTGGTCGGGATTGGAGGAGATATTGTGCTCACCCAGTCGCACACTCTTGAGTTGAAACCCACTTACGTGCACACAGTGGGCTGCGGTCAGCACATAGCGATTGGTGATCAGGGAGCCCGCGCACTTCGGGACAAGATTCTGCCCGGAGTACAGAGTATTCTTGTAGAGTAGCATGGCCATCCAGGGATACGAATTGGGTTGAGCCTCTTTGCCAGCCGCAATACGATAAACGGGAGGTCCTTGTCCGCAGAAGTCTGGCAGGAAGTCGCCATAATCCGGACAGCAGACGAAAGCCCTGTGCACTTCTGCGCTTCCATACGGGTCATAGCCGCAACTCCTGTTCTGAAATATTTGTTTCTCGGCCGACGTCATACCCCTGGGCTTTAAAATGGTCATGAGTGGAAAACATTCACTGAGTCGGATGCATTTTTCTCCCAGATGACAATCAAAAAAAGCTGTTTGAAAAAAAGGTGTTTGAAATTATAATTCTTAAAACAGTAATACTACTTTCGGGAACTTTATTTATTTTAAGCATGTTATTAAAATTTTTACACCCTTGTAGGGAGTATAATGATTTTAATCAGAAGTTTGCAACGCAGTGGAGGAGACGTTTCCATAAAGTATATATATTCTTCATCAGCATCACTCTACGAGCCGATCTAGTTTCTACGCTAACTAGTTTTAAGATATCGCAATGAAACTTTCCCAAAAGTCTTCTTTCTATTGCAGGTGGTATATAAGTGTGAGCTAGTCGGATCGGACAACTATATCTTATAGCTTCCAAGGAAAGGATTGGAAATAAAACTTTAAAAAAATCAAGCTTCAATGTTTCTTCTCTTGGGAATATTATTTTCTAAATATTTCTGAATTTCGAACTATATCTTTAAAACATCGAATCCTTATAGGTGTCATAGGAATGGTCGGAAAATTTAATGGAAATTAACAGACAAATTATGTCTTTGATGATTTTTATTACATTCTCTTGATCTCTGGGATATAGCTTTTCCTTAGGAAGGACCAATAAATGAATGCCAAAATAATACGAAAGCAGCTCAAACTTAGATTGTTGTAACATATTCGCAGGTAAATTTAAAGTTAATGTTTTTGTAAGTTGGTAGGAATGATCTACAAAGGTAGCTAGTTACCAGTTTCAACCAAAGAATCAAAATAAAAGAACAAAAGTAAGAGTGAGAATACAAGTTTAACTAAAAACATCTTATACCGACGGAGTTTAAAATAAGACTGAATTAAAAAAAACACCAAAGCTATTTTCCCATCTCATTTTGGGGAATGAATCATTTAATGTGTGGACCTTTTCAACGGAATTTATGAATTTAAGTAGATTTGGGCTGACGTATGTTTAATTCTCTGTGCTTTACAAAAAAATAACTTAAAACACGGATTTTCCATTTCATAGGACATAATTTGTGTTTTTATTTGTTGAGGTGTATCGGCATATTCTATCAAAATATTTTATACATATTTGAATTAATTACAATAACCTCGTATTACGAAATATTTTAAATAATATGACTTAAATTTAAAAATTTAAATCAAACTTGAAAATGTTAGGTACGATGTTAATCATTTTTACATTAAGCATATTACGTCACTGAAACATGAATGAAATCTTTACAGTTGCTACTTTTTTTTATCAGTATACAAAAACAAACACAACGTAGTTTTTTATACATAGTTCTAACCTCTTATCTCCAATACCTAAACTTTAGATTATAAAAAAAATAATTTTCTTCCGGAATAAATTCCGGAAACGCTTATCATGAAATCGTACATATTTATGTACATATGTGTCACCATTAAAAGTTTTAAACAAAATCTATATCATTTTATACTTTAATTGGGAGACAAAATTTATCTATATCATACCCTTGCAGAGGGTATTATTATTTTGGTCAAAAGTTTGCAACGCAGTGGAGGAGACGTATCCGACCCCAAAAAGTATATGTATATATTCTTGACCAGCATTACTAGACGAGTCGATCTGGCCATGTCCGTCTGTCTGTCCGTTTCTACGCAAACTAGTCTCTTTTTCAGCTATCGGAATGAAACTTTTCCAAAAGTCTTCTTTCTATTGCAGGTAGTATATAAGTCGGAACGGGCCAGATCGGACAACTCTATCTTAAACCTCCCACAGGAAGGATTGGAATTTTGGTCAGCTGTTAATGAGCTGTTCCATACAAAGTCAACTTTCAGAAATTTCAGCAATTCAACAGCTTCGAGGCTTTTGAATATTTTGTTGAATCGTTGAAAACCAGAGTTGGCACATTTTTTTAAAAGTCTGTAACATTTTAGTATCACCAGTACGCATTATTTATTTTATTTCAAAATCAACTTAGAAAGCATATTTGTGGTTCCTTTTACCTTGGCAATAACTAACAATATTAAATCAAATTTCACATGTTGTACATGCGTAGGAGCTAAACGAAAGTTTATGCTATATTTTATTGCCCTTAACAACAATAAAAAGATGGCTGCTATAGTGTTCCGATGATTTAAGGCAGATTTTAGGCTTTTTCGCCCCACTGTGGGGCGATGGGAATTCGTTTTCAGCGTCATGACATATTACAGTAAATTTGAGCACCGCCACTCTGGTCACACTACGCATCACGGCAATTCCTATCCTAGAACTATCTGCCACATCAGATTTTTTCAAACTTTGTGTACTGTTTCCCAGAAAAGAACAATGTCATAGCAAATTGAGAGTGAATTGTGATAGCAACATCAAAAGCCGCTGTTCGTGTCGCACCGCCTTCATGTAGCATTGGCTCCGGGAAAGACCTCAACCGCTCCTCAACCGCCGCAGCATCCGAAAAACAAATCTCGAACCAGGAACGAGTGCGAAGATACACATAACACTTGTAGAACGCCCACGCGGAGTAGAAGAAGAGTCGCAGATTTCCGCCAAGACGTGTCACTAACAAAGGAATTGAGCAGGGGTACGAAAATACGACATCGAAATGGCCCAAACCAGCGGGAACTTATCCGGAAACATGCAGCCCCCACCGCCCTCGGGAGGCAGATTCTCCGTGGACCTTCAAAGGTGAGTGACCCATAAACAGATAGGTTTCGGATATATATAGCCGTATTCCCCATAGCCTGCCCAGCCTGTCCAACCTGCCATCGCCGCTGCAGGTCTTCCAAATGGTGCGAAACTCCCTGCGGCCCTGGATAGTCTTCTTCAACATTAACAACTTCAAAACGGCCGTCAGCATGCAGCGCCTGAACAGCCGTGTTGTTAGGAATCTCTCCTACTTCCAGGCCAACTACGTCTTCATCTTCTTCGTACTGATGATCTACTGCCTGTGAGTGATCTTAGCGCTCGGCTATAGCCTATCTAATAGTTATCTCCCCCTCCAGCATCACGGCGCCCTGCATCCTGCTGGTCATCCTGGCCGCCGCCTTTGGTTGCCACAAGCTGCGCGTGCGCAACAGCAACATCACCGTGGTGGGTCACCAGCTGACGCCCAACCAGCAGATCATCGCCCTTAATCTGGCCACCGCGCCTGTTCTTTTCCTGGTGGGCGCGGGAGCGGTTCTCTTCTGGACGCTGGGCGCCTCTTGCTTTGTAATCGCCATGCATGCGATCTTCTACAACATCGATGCTATCGTGACGGAGGAGAACGAGGGATTCCTCGCCCAGGTTGTCTGACCGCCAGCCAGGAGCTGAAGCCTAGGCCTTCTGGGATCAGGACAACCCGCGACGAGGTCGAGGAGCTGACATATTAGCCACTATGGGGCCTTATTAGTCGATACAGTATGCAATATATCATATTTATAAAGAATTCGAGTTAAGTTTTAGCCGCAGACATTGAATAAACAAAATACACAAGATATGACAGATTCATAAGACTATATTCCATTTGGCAAATCAATCGCAATAGATGTGGCACATTCGGCAGAGAACTTCGATTTAATTGTATCAATAAGACTGTTTAAGTGCATCTGTTACAAAAAGTTAAATATTTAAATATATAGACTAAAGGCGGAGGAGTTGTTTACTACCCTAAAATGGGATTAAAAAGTTTCGTTACTCCAATATTATAAAATGCCCATAAATAAAATATGGTGTTCTTTAAAACCTATCTAACCTATTTAAATTAATGTTAAGAATATGTTTTTTAAATGGCATAGAAACCTCGAATAAAATCCAAAATAAATAGTTCCTGGTCGGAATTTCTCTGCGGAATGTACCACTAAAAACGTGAAATAAAATCACAAGTAAAGGACACGCATAGCACGAGTACAACTAAGTCGGTATTTCAATGAGGTACAGGTAGTTAGAACTAGGAATGCTTCGGTAGCTGCGTAAGTCTTGGTCATTCGCCTAGGCGAACTGGGCGCTCGCCAGCGTCTTCGTCTCCTGCTCCTCGTCGCTGGCCTGCTGGTCCAGCTTCTCGAATCCATTGCGATCCCGATCGAGCAGACCGCCCAGCTTAAATCCTTCATTTTTCTCCCACGCGTGACGACGACTGCGGGCTCCAAAGGGGAGGCAACCTGTGGGAAATGTTGGGATTACGGGTTAACTAACAATTGCCATGAGATCAACGGGCACAACACTGAGAAATCCCATTCCCCTTTTAGTTCATGCATAAGATCTGCGATCTGGCGTGCACTGAAACAAACCGAAAACGAAACAGAAGCCTCTTAATGACAAACGTAAATTTTGTAGATATGCTTATGTATTTTGTATAAGGGGTTTGTATAATGCGGAACACTAAATGCAATTTAATTTTAGTTACAAAAAATTAAATACAAAATATAATTTTCAAACAACCACAGAACACACTTAAGTTTGACATGCTGTGTTATGTGGGACACCAAAAATGCAGGCAAAGCGGTCGGATAAGGAGATTCAAAGGTCAACTTAAGAATAAACCAATTCAAACTTATAAGTAGAGGATACTAATACAGTTAAGTGTAAGTGACAGCACAACACAGGACATTGAGTGAGGGGTTAGCACTGATGATCAGCAGAGACTCTGGTTGGAAGCAGTCAGCTTGCGGTACACCAGGTCACTGGGTGGAGCGGAGCTGATCGCTTGGTTACCTCGTTTCCTTCGCCGGGCGAAAAGCAGAGCCAGGGCAAAGGTGGAGCCGGCAAATAGGAGCATGAGCGACGCCACCAGAATAGCCTTGCCGCTGGGATGGTGCACGGTTTCAGACGGCGCCTCCGCCTCTCCCACAGCCTGGCTGACTGCACTCGAGTCCTTGGTGGCCGACAAGGACATCGGCTTGGCCAGAGATCTGTGCACAAACTTGTGGATGCGCATGGGATTCAGCTCGGCCACATAGATCTCATTGCCGTCGATGGTGACGGCCACATCGTGGGGGTTCTGGAACTCCAGGTTATTGGGACCGAACTTCGATACCAGCTGCTTGCTGCGCATGCTCAGCACGAAGCCGTGCACCTCGTTGTAGTGCTCGGGATGGATGCCTAACTCGGCGGTGGGTCCGTTTACAATGACCAACTGCCCACCTAAAGCGGAAAAGGGAAATATAGGGGTAAAATGTATTAGAGCTTCGATATAGTAATCCAAATGAAATCGCATGAAGCCCAGCGAAACTCACGGACGTCAAAACGTCGAAAGATTCTTGTGACACCTCATGAAAACCGATACCAGGAGAAGATTGATCCACTCACCCGCTGCCGGGGTGTAGGCCATGCTGAAGAGACGGTCGCCTATCAGCTGGCTGTGGTACTGCGAGTGGAAGGTGCCGTTGCTGGAGGAGAAGCACTGCACCCGCCCGTTCTCTCTGTCCGCCGCACATAGCAGCTGCAGCTCCGGAACGAGAGTGAGGGCGTGGGGGATGGCGAAGTAGTTCGGCGGCGCCACGTCGTACGATATGCCGGAGAAGGTGTTCTGTCCCCAGGAAAGAATACGCTCTCCCGATCGCGAGTACTTGAGGATGCGGGCATTGCAGTAGCCATCCGCCACGAAGAAGTCGCCGTTGTCCAAAACTGCCACCGAGGTGGGCTTGCAGAATTTCAGCCCGGAGCCCGGTTGGAAGGCCTCGCCGAGGGTGAGCAGTGGTTTCCCGTCGCCTCCGCGAGGCGGGAACTTGAAAACCTGATGCATGGCCACGTCCGTCAGCCAAACGTTGTCCTCGGGGTCCACGGTCAGACCATGTGGCATGTAGAAGCTGTGGGTGAGATGATATTAGCTGGTATTGTCTTATATTGTCGAAATAAATGTGCTAGACCTTATTTTTATAACTTAACCGTAGTTATTGTGACTAAAGAAGATGAGTATATATTGTAATATTTACCAAATGCATTTTTACTGTCAATTTCAACTAAATGTACCATATAAATTTAAATCAATCACAAAACAAAGTCATCAGAAACAAAAAAGGAGCAAAAGAACAGCTGAACTAACTTGATATGGTGTTGTATGTGATAATGATAATGAGTAATGAGTATATATTGTAATGCAAATGCATGTTTACTGTCAATTTCAACTAAATGTACCGTATAAATTTAACTCAAACATAAAACAAAGTGAACAGAAACAAAAAAGGAACAAAAGAACAGCTGAACTAATTTGATATGATGTATGTAGTGCGTTAAAATCATCTTGCGGGTCTAAGAAAACGGCCCCTAGACCTCGTCCGTTTGCTATATTTAAAGTAGGGTTAAAACAATGATTTTCCATACGATTTCAAGGTTTTAGCCCTAACAAACGGACGAGACAACGGCCCTGAATCCAAAAACTTAATTAACAAATACTAAAGGAAAGTGTACTATTTTAAATACTAGGTAAAGGAGATCTTAAGACCATCATCATTATCATCCATAGTTCCTTACAAATTCTTGCCCCAGTCGTATTGCACTTTGCCCGTTGCCGGCTCCAATGCCAGGATGGTGCTCTCCCTGATGGGTCCGCGGTACTTCTCCTGGTACTGGTTCCTGTTGTCAAAGGTGGTCTGACCCCAGATGCGGTCCACGCGATGGAAGATCACCACGTTGCCGGCCTTGTCGAAGCTGACGGCGGTCACAGCTCCCAGCTTCACATTGTTCGCCGGCCAGGCGTTTTGGTATACGAAAGCTGGGGACGGGATTACAGAGTTATTACAGGGTATTCTCATATTAGAGGATGTCCACGCACTGTTGTTCAGTTTGGCCAGCTCAGTCTTGACATCGGGAATCGTCGCCTTGGGCGGCTGTGGCCAGTTGAGCTGCGTGACCCCCGATCCTGCTCCGGATCCCTTGAGAATCTGCTGCAGTCTCTCGTTGTTGCTGTTGTTGTCCATATTTGGCAGATAGCGCTGCGAACTTTGAGTCTGAAATGGGGTTTTGCGATTAAGATTAGCACAGGTAGCAGAAAATAAAAATGCCACGGAGCACCAGCACCCACGCACACATGCGAAATACACACTGCAGCCAAATCAATATGCCAAACATCTGTGCACACATTGCAAACATATGTTTGTTTGGGTCAAGGAGCGTGATGGCTCTCTAATAAACACTTGAACTATATACATATGTGCTTAGGTGATGCCCTGTTTACAACTGGTACTTACCTGTGACACCGCTGGCTGAAGGAAGAGGAAGATGTGGAGGAGCAGGCAACAGATTGCCAGGGATTTGCTGCCCAGACATTTGGCGCTGTCACTGGAATGCATTGTGAATACTTGTAGCTGCTCGAATTCTGGCGGAGATCCTGTCCGGTGTTATAGTGCTCGTAAACAAACGTCTCGTCTCGGAACTACAAAACTATTTATGACGCGGCCATCTTTGCTTGCGATTGAGATGTGATGTGTTCAGAGGCGCAGGTGGAATGTATTGCTAGGGGGTAGACACATTCCAATTTTAATGTTCAGTGGTGTGACCATATTAAGTACGAAAAAAAAATGTTTTAGAACCTCAAGATATGTAAATATCTATGTAGTTAGTTTGAGTATATCATAAGCAGTTGAATTGCTTAATTGTTAAAATTCAGTCAGCTGTTTCATAAAAAATCAATTTTTGGAAATTTCAACAACATCGACAACAACAATTTGGTTGAATCGTTCAAAACCAGAGCTGTCACCTTATTTTACTAAAAGTCATGGCCACATTTTAAAATAATCAGTTCGCATTATTTACTTTAAATTAAAATTATAACGAATATTTGTAGTTCACCTTACTTACTAAAAATCTTGGACAAAACGTAACAATAAAACATTTTTTTAGTTCCGAAATATCAGATCATAAATCACTGTGGTTTAAAAATTCAAAAGGAGTAATTTATGGACAACTATTCAGCTATTCACCAGTTTAGGTCCTAAGGTTACGGAATCCCCTAATTATTCAGTTCTACGCCCCTGGAAAAACAGCTGTGATCAAGGCGTTAGTGAATTTTTGAGTCTCCCCTTAACGTTTTTGTTTACTTCCGTGTTCAGCTCAGAGCGGTTTAAAATAAAAACACTATCAAAATGTCGCAAGCAGATCTGGACAAAAGCATTGAGATAATAACCAAGACCGAGGAGTTGGCCGACAAAATAATGGCCAACAAGCAGGAACTGACGGTAATGGATAAACGACGCCAGGAAACCCGGGAAGCAATGCGCCTGATGGAGAAGTCTGAGGACAAGAAGGTTTGGATCACAATTGGCAGCATGCTTGTCAAAATGCAGAAGGAGAAGGCTTTGGATCTGCTTAAGAAAGGTGGGTACCCCCTTATATTACAAAATCCTCATATTAATTATGATTATCCACAGATCAACAGCAAATTGAGCAGCAAATCAACCTGATTTACTCGGACCAGAAAGTGCTGGTCAACAAACATCGCGATTTGGAATTCAAATCGCCCTTCTCGGGCACTAATCTCAAGCCCCTGGGAAAGAAGGAGTTCGATGCTCTGAAAGCTAATCTACCATTGCTGTGAAAATCGTTATTTAAGTAAAGTCCTGTATTTTTAAACCTGCTGTTTGTGGTTGAACAATGTGACCGCAGAAGGGGCGGCAGAAAATGCAATCGATATATCGCCGCTCTGCTATCGCCGTGGGTGTGACCGCACTCCGCGAGTCGAGTGTGACCCATCCGCGCAAAGCTCCGCAGCACATTTGTTGTAGCGCTCCGTCGTTGTTGACTTGTTTCGTCGTAGGCTCCGATTGGACCGATCTGATCAGACTTTGAATCGATCGCATTGATTTCGAAACGCAGTCTTTTAATCGGGAACTAGGCGAAGTTACTCGATCAGATCAAGGCACTGCTGACAATATTGATAAATATCCCCAAAAAACTGGCGAAAACGTGCGCTCTTACGTCGGTGTGAGTGTGTGTGTTTGTGTGTGGTGAGTTCTCCTCTGCCTCCCCCGTCGCCCACGTTTCGCTCAGCGCGCAAAAGTAAATTTTAGTGCAAATAAATTGCTTTGCTTATCTCGAAGCGCGCGCTCGCATGATGAACGCAGCTGTGTGCGTGTGTGTGCCTGTGGGGAGTGAGTGTGCGAGTGTTGTTAATTAATTTACAAAAGTCGCTCCTGTTTGGCGAACAACAGAAAACAGAAACATCAATAAACAACAGCCGGGGCCGAGAGAAGTGCGAAAAAGTAGGAAAACAAAAACAACAAACGGCCTAACGGTAGTTGCATGTGGGCCACTTCGCCCACCCAACCCCCACCCCTTTCCGGAAAACGAAAGTTCTTTTACATGTAACACAACAACACTCTCGCAGCGGAGAGAGAGAGAGCAGAGAGCGTGAAAAAGAGAAGAGCGGGAGAGAGCCATTTGGCCTTGAACTTGCGACGGTAAGTTGAATTTAGCCTTTCTGCTTCAGCCACTTCTTCCACTCTTAGTTTGCACTTCTTGTAATGTTGGGTCCAAAAGTCGATTGCAGTTTTACTGGTCATCTTAGGTCCCCACATCTGTTTTTGCGTACAAATAGATCATTCGTACGATGTGATTATCACCCATTTTTAAATCATGTGGAATTATATTATTCAGCATTTTGCACTTATCACATTTCTAAAACTTATGAAATGTTGTAAATGAAGTTCGACTTTTTATGTAAATCTTTTTAAAATATTTAAAGTTCTACAACTTTGATTTCTTTTAGACTCATTCAATTTTCTCAAACATTCTTCTTAATAGTTTTGTTTTGCATATCAGATCGTTTTATCCAAATGCAGCATAGAATTAAGTGGCTGTTCCCCTCTATTTTCCTCTTATTTTGCCCTCTCTCAATGAAGCGACAATTGGGGGGCAGACTAAAGAGAATCTCAAGAAAATAAAAAAGAATCAAGAGGAGAACATTGCCTGCCCCACTTACACTGCGCGAAACGAGCACAATTATTACCTCACATAGGCGTATTTGCATTGTGTTCGTGCGGGTGAGAAAAACCCAACGAAATGCTGTTACAAAATCACTGCTCGGGTAACTGGGATTTTTGTTCGATAATTTATTGTAATTGTTTTATTTGCATGCTAAATGTTTAATGCAAAGTTTCCACTGGGTCTGGAAAAATCTTCGGTACATGAATTGATTTCGCACAATCACGATACTAGCGCGATAATTAAAATGAGATTGGACTTTTAATATAACGTATGATTGTAATACTAATTCCAGAGAAAAGGATGACCCAAGTCGCCCTTTGATCGAAATTTGGAGCTCTTAGGGGACAAAGCTTAAAGAGAACAATTTAGCAAAAAGTAAGAAAATTATGAATTATTCCAAGAGAGTACTAATTATATTGGTGTACTATAAAAATGCATAACCAATTATTAAGTCCCAACACAAGCTTAGCTATGAAATATGATAAATCCTTAGACTTAATACTCTTAACGTAAACCCTCAAAGTTATTCACAACCCTTTTTCCCTGTTAGCACATGCAAACATCGCTTATTGAGCTATTGTCATTTCTTATGCCATAATATAATTGTTCAATAAGCTTACAAGCAACGGCAGAACAAACAAAAAGCAAATAAATAAAACAAGTTTTTAAAGTACACGAAAAATTCAGAATGCTTGGTTTGTTGTTGCCGTCGTCAACTTCTAATACTCCAAGTGTTTGTGTATTTACACATGTATTTGAGCTTTAATATAATTTGTAAAAATATGCGAATTAATGTTGCGATGGAAAGAAACAAGTTTTTACCGATTTGCTGGAATTTTGTTCGTGATTAGGAAGTGTGCGATTGACTCAGCCGAATGGAACGCAGAAAGTGCCCGGAAAATGCACGTGTTATTGGCCAATTGATAAGGGCAAATTGGCAAGATGGCAAGAATGTAGAAACATTTTCGAGTTAAGGATCTGCAGAAACTCCGTCTTAAAAGCCCGCTGAGGAATTTTCGTTTCGCTCTTGTAAAATATTGCCGGCCAGGCCTGATTAATTATGGCTTGTCCGTTGCAGTTGTCGTTCAAAATGCTCAACTAGGCGTCGTCTATATAGATATAGTGTGTATATAGTGTGTGTGTAATGGCACCAGTGTGTGTGAGCGTTTAATGGGTGTGTGTGCGAGGGGCGGGCGTCCAGTTGAGTCCGGTTTCGTTTCGTTTGGCAGTTGCAAGTGCAGCACGGCGCTTGAAATACTCTAGCAGTGAGTCTCATGTGTGCACCACTAAGTTAGTAAATCAGTAAATTATCACAACCCATAAGAACTACTTATTTTGAAGAATGAGGTTTGATCTTTTTGGCCGAAAATTAGGTAGGAAAATTAGTGAACGATCATTGGAAATCCTAAATTTTAAATAAATAAAACATTGTGTTTGGTATTTGGAACCATCTTAGGCTTGAAATCGAATCAAGAACCGTATTGATTTTTTTATAAAATCAATCGTCTAGGAAGCTGCTCTACAAATAAGAATAAATAATGCAATAAAAGTTTGCAGTATTCATGATAACAGACAGTAAAATATAGCATTGAAGTGTCAACTTAAGATTGCTGACTAAATGGTACATGTATTGCACGTAACAGCGTGCTGACGAATGTAAATAGCTTAGGTAAGAGACTTTCGTATCCTGGGATGTTTTGTTTTTTATTTAAGGAAATAAATAATAGTAAAGGGTATTTCAAGTTTGAGTTACCCAGACTAGCGCTTTTTTCTGGTTCCGCGTTGGGTTTGATATTGCATTTTTTAAATTTCAGGCACGTTGCAGGTAACTACAATGGAGGCAGTTGTAGTTATTTAGCTGCTTGCTGTGGTCGTTCTGCATCTCGCTTTATTTTTTTCGCTGTGTGGCAAGTCCACTTTTTTGCCATTTACCAAGGAGGAGATCGAACTTTTCCATGCACATGTTTTCCAATCTTCCGCTTTCTATTCTCCGTTTGCGGCTGTGATTGTTAAATAATGCTAAATGAATTTGCCTTAAATCGGACAGCTGATTTGGCAGCTGACTGTGGGGAGAGAGAGCAAGAGAAGAGAGGAAAACAAACATATTTGACAGACTAACTGGCGGAATTTGTTTTTCGCTTAACGGCGGGAGGATGGTGAAAGGGTTAAAAAAGGGGGCGGTGGGCGGCAGTCGTATCAATTTGTGCGCCGCACTTTACACATGCGTCACACACACACAAAGTGGCAATTTTCGAGAAATTCAATAATAAAACGCAGAATATGATAATCAGGCTGAAAAGAGGAACTCAAACTCACCACTGGCTGTTTATCAAAGAGAGACAGAAGGTGCTAGAGAGAGCTCTCTGACACACAGACACAAAAAAACGAATTGAGTAAGGAGCTGCCAAACTCACCACGCCACCCACCACCCCCCAGTCCCTTCATCCACCCCACTCACAGCTGGGCCACTTGTTGATGAGAGAGAGAGTAGAGAGCGAGAGAGGGCAATCTCGCGCGTGGCGAAACTCACCACGTTTGGGGGCATCGATTGTGGTGGCTTGCCGCCCTTTTTTCGCAGCAAGAGAGAGAAGCTCCTTTTACTGGGATCTCTCTATGCTATCTTTCCTCCCTCCCCCTTGCACTGTGTAAAACTTATCAAGGTCGTTGGTTGGCTTGGCGTCGCTTTTTTTCGCTGTTGTAAGCGGGTTTTTCTACTTTTCCGCCCCCCTCTTCATCCACCTCCCTCGGCAGGTTGGCCATCATCCTTTGGCAAGAAATTCTTTTGCTTTTATGTTATTGGGTTTCTCCTGCTTTTTGCTGTTTCGCATGCCTTTGGCTTGTTATTCGTTATTGTGCTTGTTGTTGGTCCTCTGCTTCTTACTACTGTGCACTCTGAAAAATAGTCCTTAAAATTGAAAAACATCTTTAATAATAAGCAGGTTAAACTTTGCATAATGATCAACAGAAACCGCTATCAAAATATAAAGAAATAAATAAACAAGCACCCTTTTATTTTAAATTTTACCTAAACAAAATTTAAAATATTTTTATTAAAATTATATAACTGTTTTTGGAATTGAAAATATATCAAAAAGTATTAGAATAAATGTTACATATTTTGTCCAAAATGTTTGTTAATTTTTTATGGTTTTATTGGAAATTTATATTATGTATATTTCTTGTTTAAGTGTCTCATCGCCCCGTCAATCCCCCTTCGTCAACGCCCACAGTGGGCATCTCAGTTGTTGTTGCTTCCCCTGTTTAATTTACTTCGTTTACCGTGCCCGAGCCCTTATATTGCGCGTGTCCCTGATCCTGGGTTTTCACAACTTCTGGAAGACCCACCTTCACCTTCGCACTACGCGTATTTGCTTAATGTAAACAGCATGAAATGCCACTGGAACTTAACTAAATTGTTTGAAATTATGCTCGCTAAAAGTTGCCAGGGGATTGCACAGAGAATGCTTTCTTGTCTTCGCTTCTCCGAGTGCTCGTTAGATGAGGTTAAAAAGTTTTGCCATGAAAATTGTTTGGGCCAATTTTTGGCTTACACTTTAAATGGGAAAAATATTTGGTTTGGGGAAGTTAAACCATTGTGTTGATATACATTTTTGTGAAAAATACTAGGTTTGTTTTCAGCAAAAACTGAATATGTCAACTTCTTTGTAAACTGTTTGTGGCCTGACCATTGTTTGGTTGAGAGCAGTGCTGTTAACACTCAGCTTAAAAAACAGGTCATACGAGCCAAAAAAAAAAAAAAACGGATAAAATAAAAAAAACAATTTAAAATTTTATAAAAAGTGTACATTTTTGCGCTTATACTAATGGGCTACACTTTGAACTTAATTTAAATGGATTAAATTCTAAATTAAATTATGTAATGGACAAATGCACCGACTAACTACCTCCTTCGCTTGATAATTTGACCATGCTAAATTGTTTATACGTATACCTACGTAATAATCTACTAATATAAAAAAAAAACATTTCAGCTTAATACAAAAAAATTCAACTACTGGTGTCAAGCTTACTACTTACTTTACGGAATTTTGCTTAACCTGCCAAAGGATTCCTTCGAGGAAAGGCTCATGGTAGACTACAAGAACATCAATTATATGGGGACATTATATTCCAGTAGGGTTTCCCCCTCGGAATTCCTCAATTCCCCAGCTAAAGAATTCCAGTTTGCTCTGCCCCAAACTCGTCACTTTTGGCTTGTAACTAGTGCATTAGCAACAGTGCAATTCGCGAGATAACCAGATTGCAGCAGAAGATTGCACCACGGTGCGTATACGTCATGCGTCGCACTTCGGTCTTCTCGCCTCTGCTACTTACTCCGGCTTCCACTCCATCGACACTCCACTGTGCCACAGGTTAGCGCGCTTTAATGCCGCCATCTATTTTTAGCCATTTCTAATGAGCGGTTGCTATTTTTAGGCCAGGTGCTCGTGTTTGAGCTTTCGCCTCGCCGCTT